GGGGGGGGGGGGGGGGGGGAAGGCACCACCCAATGCCTGCTCTGCCTCTGGCTCCATGGCCACCCGCACCTCATCTGGCTCCGTGTGCCCCCATGTGGCCTGCCCCAGCCTCTGTGGTGGGCATGGAGTCGCCATGACAGCAGGGACGCAGGAGCTGGGGGCCACTCTCCCATCCCATAGTCCCTGGTGTCACCGAGGGGGGAGGGGGGGCAGAGCCCTGAGTCCAGCCCTACCCCTGCTTCTTGTCTGATCCCATTCCCCACTCCCCCCCACCCCCAAAGCATTGAGTCCAGGCCTATTTCTCCCCTCACTCCTTGGTTGCTGCCTGTGGGGAGCAGAGCCAGAAAGGGGAGGGGGGCAGGGCCAGTGCACCTTCATCTGCTCCATTGCCTGCAGGGACAGGGCCTCTCCCCCTCCCTCCGTTTTCAAACCTTGCAAGGAATGGAGGGGGCAGCGCTAGCGGCACTGACCCCGCTCCGTCACCACTGTCATGGTGGTGTGGCAGCCACCTGCTGTCTGAACGCTCGCACTCTGTTTGGTTGTTTTCAAATGCCTACTCATCACGAAGTTCTAACTTGGTTTCTTTCTTTACTGAACTACTTTTCAGCATAATGATGCAGCCAACAATTTTCTTCCCCAAATAAATTAATCTTACCATGTTCAGTAGTTTTTAAATGAACCTAAACTAATTAAATCTCATAACATATATAATGCAGATGTACACAAGTACTGCTGGTTACACCAGAAATGTCAAATGAAAGTCTCCTTACAAGATGTCTTCATATTTAATATTTCTGTATTTAGTGATAGATCCCTTATACAGGTATATTCAGAAGACTTGGGCATATAAGAATCTAGGAGAAAATTTTTAAAGTGTCTAAATGAGTCAATACACATCCTATTTCCAAAAATGAGAGTCAATATGGACTTAAGCTTTTAAAGTCTTTCAAAAATGATTTAGGTATTTACGACGCTTAAAACACTTGAAAGTTTTACTCGAAAAGGTCATCTACACTTAGATTTTGATAATTAAGTTAAAATAAGCCTTGTATACTTTTAAGCAACTGTTTAGCAATTATTTGTTTATAAATAATTATGCAGAAATATTCTTACTCTCATCAGGCACGCTTCCCCAAGAAGTTGTTCTAAACAAGCGTGCCCGGGCACTGCTGACTTTTCTAACCTCCAGGGGGTCCACAGGTGGTTTTGGAAAGAGAGTGGAAGAATGCTGATCTTTTGTGGGTGATGAAAACAGCTTTGGCTTCTGTTACAAAGTAAGATAAAATATTAGTTTTACAAATTCTCAAATCCATAAAACCTAAAATTAGAAAAATAAAACTTTCCATATATATTATTATTGCTTCTTTTCCTCCAACTTATGACTAACTCAGATAAGTCTTAAGAGCAGCCATGTCATTTTATCTTAAAGAAAAGAAAAGAAAATACAACCATTTCAATTCCATGTTTTACAATTTGTATCAGCATTCATAGACAGTTGTCTAGAACAGACATGTAGGAAATAATGTCTAAACCTTTCTAGGGAAGGGGGAAGGAACAGTGTCAAAATAATTAATCATAAACTAGCCTTCATATAGCATTTTATATAGCATTAAACAGCATTTATTTTCTTTTGGATTAAGAGGTCATCTACATAGAGTGTACTCCATCACAAAAATGTTGCAACTACTCCTGAGACACAGTGGGTGCATCTACACATGCAATTAAATGTGAAGCAATAAACTCCAGAGCAGTCTGAGCTGGAGTAAACTGCTCCCAGGCACAGCATCTACATGTGTGCCTGGGACAGCAGCAATTTGAGCCAGGGCAGAGTAGTTTATGCCAGGGCTAGGGGCAAGGGGGTCTGCCCCAGGCTCCAGGCGGAGTGCTGGGTGGTGGAGGGGCTGGCTGGGGCATGAATCTGCAGAGCCGTGTGCCTAGGCAGCAGGCAGGAGTCTCTAGCTGACTGGGCTGACCAGGAGCAATTTATGCCTACAGTCAGCATTTACATGTTTCATCATAGCTAATTACTGTTGGAGACAGTACTATTTTATGGAAGAGGTAGTTTACTGCACCCTAATAACAGTGCACATGTAAACAGTAACCCTTTACTGTACTGCTAATTAGTCTACTTCACAGTAAAGCGCATATGTAGATGCACCCAGTGAGTACTACTGAGGTGCACAGATCCACATATCCACTACTTCCAGGTTTTATTTTTTAAAACTTCTCTCATCTCAGATGCAACTAGAGACCCTGAAAAAGCTCCATCTGGTACAAAACTTAGTTCATGTGCTCAATAAAACAGTTATCCATGAAATCATTGCCCTCAAAACTGTTCTTTGTACTGACTCTCCTTAGAATAAGGAATCCAGTTTGAAGTCTCTATTTTGATCTTCAAAGCTCCCCAGCTGACTGATTCTAGGTGCCCAAGGGATTATTGCCATCCCCTTAATAATCATGATCTCCCACAACTATTACATCCCATTAGAACAATAAACTCTTTAAGCAGTAGAGTTTAACTCCTAAGAATGAGAAATTTGGGACAAGGTTAGCAAATCCAGTTTATTCAAAGGAACTAGATTTAAATGATGGAATCCACTCTCACAAGAGATGCTGACAGCTATGAACCTCACTACTTAAAAGCAAAACATATTTATTTAACTTTGTGTAGATAGAATTAAGGAAAACTATCATGCAAACTAATCAAGGTACTGATTTCACAAATTAAAAAAACCCCAAAGTCTTTATTTCTTAATCTACACACACTTGGGAAACATCCTGCACTACAAATGGACAACAAAAGTATCTAAATAAACCATGACAATACAATGATTGCAATTACTGTGTGAAGATGACTTAAACATCTATTTTAAATATGTAAAAACTACGCAAGTCTGTAAAGTACAATCAAAATATTTAATTTATATAACTATATATCAAAACAATATTTTATAAAAATTGCAATAGTGCAAACTTTACTGGAAATGGACACTTCTTTTAGAATTTCTCTAAATTGTATGGGCTCTAAATATTATGAATCAGTGTGAAATTTCATGCATTACTGAAAAGTGCTTTTATTGTAACCTGTGTAGTGTACCTTGGACACTTTAATATATGTTAAATACCCATAACTTTTACAAAACTATAAAATGAAAATAATTCAGATGTTTTACAAGAGAAGAAAACAATAAAAACATTTCTTCCAAGTATCGTTAATTTTTAAATGTCACATTTAAATGAGCTGCTACTACTATACACTAAAACAGGGGTGGGCCAAATATGGCCAGCAGGCTGCATCCAGCTCACGGTGGGTCCGTTGGTCCCACCTGGCGGAGGCACCATGGCTGGGAGGTGTGAAGCAGGCGCAGGCTGTGCTGGGACTGCACACTGTTGGTGGTGGCAGGGGAAGCACCATAGGGCATGCAGGCTCTGAGCTGTTGCAGGGCAGGGGTTGACAAGCTCAGGGGGGCGCCTGCCAGGGCTCCCATGCACACCCCACATATCCTCAAACCCTCCCCCTTAAACCCCACAACCACACCCTCCTCTACACACTAACACACACCCCACAAACACCACACCCCCCCACACACACACCTGCATGCCTCTGGGGGAGCCCTGCTCACATCACACATACCCCCCCAGCCACTCCCCCCTCCACACACCCCACAGTCCTGCACAAACCCATACCCACCATACCCACCCACCCACATGAATACCCCCACACCCTTCCCCACACCCCATATAAAACACACAAACCCCATACCCACTCACCCATACCCCCCACAATATACAAGAGTAAGACTTCATTTTGAGCTATTATGCAATCACTTCTATATATACACAGTACAAACAAGTCAGGACAAAAATATTTTTTTTAAATAAAATTAAAATATATCATTATGGACGTTTGATTTTTAGTATACAATTTGGTTTTTTTCCAGTTCCAAGATGGCGAACCCCCAAGAGGAGTACCTCCAAGGGCAAGGGGAGGGACCTTCCGGTGGCAAAGGTCAGAGGTTAGGCACAGGACTTCTGATCCCAAGATGAAGACCAGGGGACAGGACCACCCTTGCAGCTCTCAACAGTTCTCCAAAACTCTTTAAGCGGCCCTTCACCTGAAAGAATTGCCCTGCCCTGCACTATAAGCAGATGACCTACTTCTAATTTATTTTTCAGGATCAGTGCCATTTGCAGCCTCTCTTTCAGTCATCTTAAAAATGAAAATAGAGCGTCAAAATTTTAACATCTCATTTTTCAAGCACTAAAGCAATTTTGCTGTACCTGGAGTTAGAATGCTACACTCTAATATAGGTAAAACCTGTTTTCTTCTTCATTTTAGGGGGAAAAAAATAATAGTTCATAAACCAGTTGTATTAATCTCAAATTGTACATTTTCACCTCTTGTAGTGAACTCTCAAAGCATTGATTGAACCTATTTTTACAGTGTCCTTTTATAACAATACAGTGGGTGGTACATGTTCAGTATTATATAACATTCTTTTTATTTAAAAGTACTTGCATGGTCCAGTGGGCTGAGCCGTGCACCAGAAATTGGTCTTGATTCACTAGATTCAAAACTGGAAGCGTGGAGACTGAGATAAAGAACAGAAACAAAACATTAACTCAGACTCAGTTTTGTTTTCTTGCAGTGGGTCCATTCTCTTCCATCCCCAAGCCAGAGAAGAAAGCGTACCACATCTACAACATTATTCTCTTTTTCTTTGTATCTTACAGATTCAATTGGGATGTCAGGCCAAATGGCTCATTAAGGCTGAGGGAGGAAATCAGAGGACTTTGTGGCACATTCTTGCTTATTCTGCAAACAGATACTGTAATTAAATTAATGTTCCTCGCAAAGGTATAACACAGCCTGAATTATCTCTACAGATGCTGCAAAGTAGCATAAAGTAGCATCTAAGATATTACAGTGCAACTCATGCAACACCCTGTGCTGCTGGGGAAAGGGACTGTAAGAGATGGCTCCTACCTTTGAGGCTAATAGCTCCAGTGCCTGTCACTGGGTGGGAAGATCATGCTTTCTGTGAGCTATTTTGGGCCACAACCCCAGCTGACCAGAAAGGAAGCTAACAGGTCATTCCATAATAATCCAAAATAAAAAGTTTCATAATAAAGCTTTTTCTTTTCTTTCATTAAAAAAGAGCAGATGTACAGCACAGACCATTCTCTTACACCATTCTGTACATACAAAATTGGTATAGACCACTGCTAGTATTAGTTCCAAGCCACAGGAACTTCCCGGACACACAGATTAACATTGTCAATGAGCATTTTTAAAACACAGGAAAGGATGTAATTAACAGCAGAAACTAACGCAGGAAAAAAGGACCATAAACATAATTACAGAATCAAACCTCTTGCTGCTAGATTATATTAACAAACCTTAAAGCCTCTATACCTAAAAGCAGAAGGTGGTCTATCATCAGGAGTTCGTGAAGATGCAGATCCAAAAAGTTTCCTTTGATACTCTCGAGGTGTAAGTGGCCTTTGAGATCTTAAAGTTCTTAACGCATTTCTCGCTTCATTTATAATCTCAGCGCTGGTCTTCTGCCTAGGCACAGAAAGCCTATAAAATGGGTCTGGCGTATCTACATTTTTATTCTTTGAGGACTGCATTCTTCTACAATGTATCTGACCAGACACTGTGCGCTACAACGGAAAACCAAGAAAAAAAAACACAAAGCACTTTTTAAGCAGAAATGTTTACGGTATTCATGAATATTTAATTATTTTTTAAATGCTTTAAAAAATAACATTGGAAGCCAGGGTGAAGGTCTCAGATCTCTCACAGAAATCAATCTGTACCACTGGGATTCAGTGATATTATTCTTCACTCTCCTATTGTCAGTGGAAAAACAGTTGAAGTATATAGTGTTTTTAGCATCTGGAAAGGAATTTAAAAAAAAAAAAAAAAACAACAAACAACATCAGGGACTACAGTATTTTCAAGGCCAAACAAAATAGCATTCTGATGTCAAACAAAGGCTTATCACCCAAGATTATAAATATTCAGAAGCTGACAATTCAATAAATATAGCTGTTATTATAATAAAGCAGGAACAAGACAAAGAACATGCGGAGAGAGACTTTTCGCATACTTAGAAAATTAACAATATATGGTATCAGTTTTATCATGTACTCCATTCTAACAAGCTAGAAGAGGTATTGCTTGTCAACTAGAAATGAAACTATATACAGGAAAAGGCAATAAATCTTATCTTTGTAAGAAAACACATTAACACATTATATGATGAGTTATCGACTCAGACTGCCAGCGTTTGATCTAATTGTGCACCCTTAGGCTAGAAACAGACTTCACCTTTGTGTCGCCATAACTATTTTTATACTGGCCCAAAGCAAAAGCAAATAGATATCCATGCCCTTCATCATGCCAAATATCTTCCATGATTGCCTTATCTGTGGGTCGGAAGATGGCTGATGAGGCCTATTTGGGATTGACAGATTCTACTGAGCTCAGACATCTGTTTCCATGCGGGGTTGGTGGATCTGGATTTTTATTTGGTCTGCGACACACTTTTTTGCTGCTCCCACTTTTCCATCTCCTGTCGTTGTCATGAGGTTTCAAAGTACTAAGATCCCTGCAACAGACTCTTCCTCCATTTGGGGCAGTCCTGAGCAACAGTCTCCCATGACTTATGGATATTGCATTTTTTTAAGTCGGCCTTGAGGATGCCCCTGAAACACTCTCTCTGCTGGCCTCTTAAGTGTACACTTTAGCTGAGCTGGGAAAATAAAGCTTGCTTCCGGAGTCTGGAGTCAGACATCCGGATGAGTTGGTCGACTCAACAAAGTTGATGCCAGGTGATCACTGCCTCAATACTCATAGTGTTTGCTTGCAAGAGGATGCTAACTTCCCGCTGGATTTGAAGGATCTTCTGCAGGCAGTGTTGATAGTACTTCCCCAACAACTTTAGATGTCTCCTGTACGTTGTCCATGCCTCAGCTCTGTTCAGCAAAGTGGGGATTACACCTGCTTGATACACCATGAGCTTGGTTTGGGACCTGATGTCAATCTGTGAACTTGTGTTTCTTCAGGCATCCAAAGGCTGCACTTGCACATTTGAGGCAATTTGGATTTCTTCGTCAATGTCAGCCTTCTGCAAGAGATGGTTTCCAAGGTACAGGAAATACTCAACATTTTCCAGAGTGTCATCATGGATCTGGATTACTAGAGCTAGAGACTGTTCATTACCAACTTGTTGGTGGAGGACCTTAGCGTTAGTCCCATCTTCTTGTATGCCTCAGTAAAGACATTGATGATTGCCTGAAGGTCTGCTTCCAAGTCAGCACACACTACAACATCATCAGCATACTGAAGCTCAATGATTGTCGTAAGAGTGGTCTTGGTTTTGGCTCAAGAGACAGCTGAGGTTAAACAACTTACCATCCATTTGGTAGTTTAACTCCACCCGAGCTGGAAGCTTGATGGACAGATGCAACATCATGGCAAGGAATATTGAGAAGTGTGGAAGCGATGATGCAGCTGTGTTTAACTCTGGTTTTAACCTCAAAGGGATCTGTGATATATCCATTACTGAGAACCACCACTCACATACTGTCATGGAACAGGCAGAGAATGGTGACAAATTTCAGTGGGCATCCATACTTCAGAAGGATTCTCCACAACACTTCTCGGCAGACAGATTCAAAAGCTTTTGTGAGGCCAAAGAAGGTCATGTAGAGAGGCTTATGTTGTTCCCAATGTTTCTCCTGCAGCTGGCAAGCTGTGAAGATCATGTCAGTTGTGTTTCTTGATGCTCTAAACCCACACTGAAATTCTAGGAGGAACTCTTCAGCAAGCGGAAGGAGACAGTTCAGAAGGGTTCTCACAATGATCTTTCCTATGATGGACAGCAAGGTGATCCCTCTATAGTTTCCATGGTTGGACTTGTCCCCTTTCTTGAAGATTGTCAGTCATGGAGCCCCTGAGGTCATCTGGGATTTCCTCATAATTCTAGATCCTTAAGATGAGGACATGAAGCAGTGATGCAAGCTCCTCTCCTCCCTGTTTTAGGATTTCAGCGGGGATTCCATCCACTCCAGATGCCTTGTTTCTTCATCTGCTTGACGGCTTTCCTCACCTTATCAAGGGTTAGAGGGATTCCGAGATCTTCTCTGACTGGGTGTTGCGGAATGGAGTTGAGAACACTCTCATCAACAGCAGAGTCTTGACTGAGATCTTCAAAATCCTCCTTCCAGTGGGCATTGATGGCTCCCCTTTCCTTGATCAGGTCTCCTCCATCCTTAGGTCTCAAGAGGGTTGGTCCCCGAGTGCTTGGACCATAGATGGTTTTGGTGGCACTGACGAAACCACACATATCATGGATGTTAGCCAGATGTTGAATCTCCTTAGCCCAGTCTTTCCCACCATTTGTTCTTCATATGGCACATCCTCCTTTCAACTTCTGCCTTGGCTTGTTGGCGATTCAATTTCTTTTTCTTGGAGTTGGTGTCATTTTGCCAAGCACAAAGGGCTTTACACTTATGATCAATCAACTGTGCTGCTTGTTTGTGGACAATGTTTATTTGCTTTATGGAAGAAGAGCTCAGGCAACCCAGAACTGCCCACATTCTCCAGGAGCTCTGGGCAGGCATTTCCACACTCCCCAGGAATTCCCAGGCAGGATCAGGCCTCTCAAGCCCTGGAAGTGCCTACCTTTCCCCACTTAGAGAGACTTGATGAATTTGTGGAAGTGATTTTTACAGAGCCACCAGTCATCAAAAGAATCACTTCCACAAATTCATCGAGTCTAAGACTTAGTATATTAATGCAACTCTTTGTAGACACCATCAGTTTTCATTTTTCAACAACTATCATAAACTCCATCCAAGTCAGAATTCTTTGTTCCTCAAAGTAGAAATAAACTGTTTACAGTTACCAAAGGGGAAAAAATCATTTTGTCTTGGATTTTCACTACTGTGCACAACACAAGCAGGTAGCTTGAGTCCCCTCATACAATCTATGATTAAAAGCCAATAGCAGAAGAGACTGGAAGCTGCCATCTAGCATTGTCCAAAGTTGAGTCAAAAACTCACTTCCCTACTCTAAGTCTCATTTACCTTCTTCTTGCCCTTGCTTTTCAAAGCCTCTCTCCTGCCTTCTCTCTAAGACCCTCACATGCTTATAAGTCTCCCCATTAATATTTTCCAAGCTTTCCCTTCCTCCCTCCACCCTGCTATGAAACAATTTCCAAGACCCCACCTCTTCTGTAAAGTGCTGAAGCCATAAAAACCATATGACACTTCTTCCATATGGTACTATAGAGATTTCTATATTACCATTGGGGTGCACTGGTAAAGATTTTTTTGGCTGATACCAATGGCCAACTATTAACCAGCCATATCGGATACTGATCCAATAGCCAGTATGCAGCCCTGTAGCTTGGCTGGTATGTCTGTGGTGGGGAGGCATGGGGAGGGGCAGATCGAGGCCCCCACAGTGAGGGGGGGAGTGGGGCTGGGGCTGCCCAGCCTGGGCAGGGCGGGGTGTGGAACAGAACCACGGGCAGCTCATCCAGAGTAAAGAGGGGATGGGAAGGGGGCGTGGCTCCTTGCTGCTGTACACAACCCCAGGGGAGGCATGGTGGGCATGTGCCCCCTAGATTTATGCATCGGGCAAGGGCAGTCTGCCTGTTGCAGGCTCGGGGCCAGGGACTGTGCTGGCCTCTTCCCAGCAGGCAGGCTGGACCGGGTCTGCGCTCAGGGTGGGCAGCGGCAGCACTGGGAGGGGGGCTACAGAGAATTTTGGGGTGTCTATAGCCCACCCCGTAGACCTTCCCCAGCACTGCTCCCACCCTGGCCCAGCTGGGAGGAGACCAGCACAGCCCCTAGCCCTGAGCCTGTGGCAGGCAGCCCATCCTTGCTCCATACACAAATCCAGGGAGGCACATGCCCCTGCCCCACTCCCTCCCTCACCATAGGGGACTTAATCTGCTCCCCCATATCTCTTTCCCCCCTCCCCCGACTTACTGGCTGGACGCTGCTTTTCACACTACCAGGCTGCCTTCCTGGCTATGTGTGCAGCTGCAGCATGCACGCACACGCAGCATTTATCAGTGACATTATTGGCTACACCCGTCAGAAAAAGCCGATTGCCAATAATGTCAATTTTCCCTTTATTGGTGCTGATCTGATTTGGGCTGGTATACCGGTCCACCTCTACTTATTATATTTATGTAATGCTATAACCACTTTGTCTGCTCATGGCTCAAGAGGAAAAGCCAGACCATTTCTCCACAGGCATGGAGAGTCATCATATATTCTAACTGGTATAGTTCTACCACACAAGGGAAGATTGAATGCTACATAGCAAGGTTCTCTTGCCTGGTGCAAAGATTTGCTTTCAATTACCCACCTCTTGTACTGCAGCATGTAAGGAAAAGATTCCACCAGTGGATTAAGAGAGAGAGCTTCCCAGCACCAGTGTGCTTAAAGGAATTAAAAAAGCTAAACTGGAAATCTTACTGTAGTTAGAAGTCACATCCAGGTTCTTACAAAGCACCTGCTTTTACTGCAGCCACACACAGCAATCTGAGATCCATGTAACTTCCTGCTTTCTAATGTGACACAAAGGAACCAACTAAGCAGCTACTCTGAACTAGCCTCTTTGGAGCTCAACTTGCATGGGG